TACTAACGATGGTACTTCCTGTTTGCAATTTCAATAGACGGTTAATGTGTATTAGCTGAGCAATGAAGGAGAAAGTGTCGATGTATCATTAATTTGACGAATTTGATCCCCGTACAACTGCCGAAAACTGTAGCTACATTGGAAACTGGGTTTTCCCCCCGGAATGACTATAGTTTTGACGAATCATTTCTGAAAAGAAAACCATAATTTGAGATTTTCTAAAAACAAGAGGACCAATGGGCCGGCATCGCTCACCTGGTATTAATCTAACACTTGTAATCTTAAAAGTGGACCAATCTAATTAAAATTATATCTTCACATCGCTCCCGTTTACTGATATGTCGCGTTGAAGAAGATTTTCAACGCGACATATCAGTAAACGGGAGCGATGTGAAGATATAATTTTAATTAGATTGAAAGTGGACTAAAATAAAGCTACAGGCAGAATATCAGTGTTTGATTCATTAGAACCTATTAAAAGATTTAAACACGAATGTGTCCTTGAATGTCGAACAAGGACATTAGGTTGAAAGTGGGTCAAGGTCATTCATATGAACAAACTTGGTAGTCCTTTATCCCAGCATGCTAAAGGCCCAATTTCAGTACCATGGGCCTTTTGTTATCGAGAGGAAGTGGTTTGAAGATTTTACGACATTTGACCCCTGTGACATTGAAAGTGGGTCAAGGTCATTCACTTGAACAAACTTGGTAGTCCTTCATCCCAGCATGCTACAGGCCCAATATCAGTACCCTTGGCTTTTTGGTTATTGAGAAGAAGTTGTTTGAAGGTTTTAACATATTTGACCCCGTGACCTTGAAAGTGAGTCAAGGTCATTCATTTGAAGAAACTTTTTAGCCATTTAATCCCATCATGCTACAGACCCAATATCAGTACCCTGGGCCTTTTGGTTATTGAAGGGAAGTTGTTTGAAGATTTTAAGACATTTGACCCCTGTCACCTTGAAAGTGGGTCAAAGTCATTCATTTGAACAAACTTGGTAGCCCTTCATCCTAGCATGCATCAGGCCCAATAGCAGTACCCTGGGCCTTTTGTGTATTAAGAAGAAGTTGTTTGCAGATTTTAAGACATTTGACCCCTGTGACCTTGAAAGATGGCCAAGGTCATTTATTTGAACAAACTTAGTAGCCCTTTATCCCAGCATGCTACTGGTTAAATTTCATTAGCCTGTGCCTCTTGGTTATTGAGCAGAAGTTGTTTAAAGTATAAAAGTGACGCCGGACGGACGAACGACGGACGACGGACGCCGCACCATGCCATAACACAATAAAGATGAATAAACCAACTATAAACAACAACTCCTCTGATTGTAAAAATGCAGCTAACTCTAGACCGGGATTCGAACCATTGACCCGAGATTGTTTTGCTGTCGTTTTGACCGACTGAGCTACTGTACTTTGGTAAAGACAGTGCAACAGTTATATCCAACACGAAATTAAGGGGAGGCTACTGTTATACGAAAAACTACTTGGCAGTGGGACAAGGATCTTTAAAATGTTGTACTTTCATTGTCAATTTGAAAAAGACAGATTTTGTACAAGATACTTAAGCATTGAACTGTTTTTGTAAGGTATTTATGATCTATTTGAAATTCAAATAGATCATAAATACCATACAAAAACAGCTCAATACTTATATTTACGTTTTCTCTGCCTCTTATGTTCTTTTTTAATTTACAATTTATATTTAAAATTTAAAATTCCCGCCTTATCGACAGTCGACACACATTCGTTCAATAGTTGGAACAGCGTGTTGTCGCGTGCTGATTGGCAAACAAAGAAGTACTTTGAAATTTTAACAAACACTTCAATTTTACTCCACAGTTCAATATCAATACAATAACGTATGAAATGTCAATAGGGTGATTTAAGTTTGTCAATAGAATAGAATAGAGCTGAAAGTTAGATTTGAAATTGTTTCGATTTTTCCCCGGAACAAATTTTCCGCATGGATAAATACAATGAACACCGTAAATCTGACCTTGCCCTCCACGAGGAGTTATTTTTGGATGTTCGATCTTTTCTCTTTGCTCTCCTTTTGTGGAGATTGTATGGGAATCTGACTACAGTCGGTAGATTCTATAACAGACTCGTTATTTGACATGTCGTCAGAAACTGAGAAAATCGTGGCTGCGAGACGCGTGAAACTGATATCGTTTGAAGTGAGCAGGGGCGGATCCAGGATTTCCTAAAAAGGGGGAGGGGGGGGGCCGAGAATTTTTTCTCAATAGTCAACGGTGTGCTGCGAAAGGCAGCAGCCCGAGCGCGTAGCGCGAGGAGGGGGAGGG